TCCTTGACTGCTGTTTTCCTCCTGATGTGGCTGTACAACAGTTTCGGGTCAGATTTGGCTTTCGCTGCTATGTCATTTTCATATTGTCTTTGGGCCTCCCTTCGTATCTGTGCATATTCGTTTCTGGCTCTATGACTGCTCTCCTTATTCTCCTGAGTCCTTTGCCTTCTATATTTCTTCCATTCCCTAGTACACTTGGTTTTTGCCTCCCTGCACCTTTGGGTAAACCATGGGCTCATCCTAGCTTTTTCATTATTCCTGTTACCCTTGGGTACAAACCTCTCCTCAGCCTCCTTGCATTTTGTTGCTACATATTCCATCATCTCATTAACTGGCTTCCCTGCCAGTTCTCTGTCCCACTGAACCCCGTTCAGGAAGTTCCTCATTCCTATGTAGTCCCCTTTCTTGTAGTTTGGCTTCATTCGTCCTGGCCTTCCTGCTTCTCCCTCCACTTGTAGCTCTACTGTGTATTCGAAGCTTAAAACCACATGGTCACTGGCCCCAAGGGGTCTTTCATATGTGATGTCCTCGATATCTGCACTACTCAAGGTGAATACCAAGTCCAGCCTTGCTGGTTCATCCTCTCCTCTCTCTCTTGTAGTGTCCCTTACGTGTTGGCACATGAAGTTTTCCAGTACCACCTCCATCATCTTAGCCCTCCATGTATCTTGGCCCCCATGTGGGTCCAAGTTCTCCCAATCGATCTCCTTGTGGTTAAAGTCACCCATGATCAGGAGCTTTGCCCTGCATGCATGAGCTCTTCTGGCCACTCTAGCCAGTGTGTCAACCATCGCTCTATTGCTCTCGTCGTACTCTTGCCTTGGCCTCCTGCTGTTCTGCGGTGGGTTATACATCACTGCTATTACCACCTTGGGACCTCCAGAGTGAAGTGTTCCCGCTATGTAATCACTTTCTTCTCCGCTGTCTCCTCTCTCCAGCTCATCAAAATTCCAGCGATTTTTGATCAGCAATGCCACTCCTCCACCCCCCCTGTTCCCTCTGTCTTTCCTCAGGATTTGGTATCCTGTTGGAAAGATGGCATCTGTTATCATACCTGTAAACTTGGTTTCTGTGAGAGCTATGATGTCCGGTGATGCTTCTTTGACTCTTTCATGCCACTCCTCCCACTTATTTGTTATTCCATCAGCGTTTGTGTACCATACCTTCAGTGTGTGTGTGTATGTGTGTGTGTGTGTACTTGCCTAGTTGTGGTTGCAGGGGTCGATTCATAGCTCCTGGCCCCGCCTCTTCACTGGCCGCTACTGGGTCACACTCCCTGCACCATGAGCTTTATCATACCTCTGCTTAACCATTAAACTGTCCAAACAGATTTACGTTCTCATTCGTAGTGCTCCAAAAGTAGATCTTCGGTTTTTTACATATTTTCAAATATAACAAAGAAAAGTTCAAAGTTTTTTTTACACGTTTTCAAATGTTGAAAAAACATAGATCTATGTTTGGACAGTTTAAGGGTTAAAGCTATGAATGGATCCTGCCTCCACTACATCACTTCCCAAACTATTCCACTTCCTGACTACTCTGTGACTGAAGAAATACTTCCTAACATCCCTGTGATTCATCTGTGGCATCAACTTCCAACTGTGTCCTCTTGTTGCTATGTCCCATCTCTGGAACATCCTTTCTTTGTCCACCTTGTCAATTCCTCTCAGTATTTTGCCGTTATGTCCCCTCTTTCTCTCCTGTCCTCCAGTGTCGTCTCGTCGATTTCCCTTAACCTCTCCTCGTAGGACATACCCCTTAGCTCTGGGACTAGTCTTGTTGCAAACCTTTGCACTTTCTCTAGTTTCTTTACTTGCTTGGCTAGGTGTGGGCTCCAAACTGGTGCGGCATACTCCAATATGGGCCTAACGTACACAGTGTACAGGGTCCTGAACGATTCCTTAAGATGGCGGAATGCTGTTCTTAAGTTTGCTAGGCACCCATATACTTCAGCAGTTATTTGATTGATGTGCGCCTCAGATGTGCCTGGTGTTATTACTCGCCCCAAGATCTTTTTCCTTGAGTAAGGTTTGTAGTCTTCCCTCCCCTAGACTGTACTCCTTCTGCGGTCTTCTTTGCCCTTCCCCAATCTTCATGACTTTGCACTTTGTGGGGTTGAACGCCAGGAGCTAATTGCTGAACCAGGCCTGCAGCCTGTCCAGATCCATCTGTAGTTCTGCCTGGTCCTCGTCCGATTGAATTCTTGTCAACTTCACATCATCTGCAAACAGGGACACTTCGGAGTCAATTCTTTCTGTCGTGTTCACAAATATCAAGAACAGCACTGGTCCTAGGACTGACCCGTGTGTGTGTGTGTGTGTGTGTGTGTGTGTGTGTACTCACCTATTTGTACTCACCTATTTGTGGTTGCAGGGGTCGAGTCTTAGCTCCTGGCCCCGCCTCTTCACCGGTTGCTACTGGGCCCTCTGTCTCCCCGCTCCATGAGCTTTATCAAACCTCATCTTAAAACTGTGTATGGTTCCTGCCTCCACTATGTCATTTTCTAGGCTATTCCACTCCACTGCCTGACATCTCTGACTGAAGAAATACTTCCTAATATATCTCTGACTCATTTGTGTCTTCAACTTCCAATTGTGGCCTCTTGTTTCTGTGTCCCCTCCCTGGAACATCCTGTCTTTGTCCACCTTGTCTATTCCACGCAGAATTTTATATGTCGTTATCATGTCTCCCCTGACCCTCCTGTCCTCCAGTGTCATCAGGCCGATTTCCCTTAATCTTTCTTCATAGGACATTCCCCTTAGCTCTGGAACTAACCTTGTCGCAAACCTTTGTACTTTCTCTAGTTTCCTGACGTGCTTTATCAAGTGCAGGTTCCAAACAGGTGCTGCATACTCCAGTATGGGCCTGACATACACGGTGTACAGTGTCTTGAATGATTCCTTACTAAGGTATCAGAATGCTGTTCTCAGGTTTGCCAGGCGCCCATATGCTGCAGCAGTTATCTGATTGATGTGTGCTTCCGGAGACATGCTCGGTGTTATACTCACCCCAAGATCTTTCTCCTTGAGTGAGGTTTGCAGTCTTTGGCCACCTAGCCTATACTCTGTCTGTGGTCTTCTGTGCCCTTCCCCTATCTTCATGACTTTGCATTTGGCAGGATTAAATTCGAGAAGCCATTTGCTGGACCAGGTGTCCAGTCTGTCCAGGTCTCTTTGAAGTCCTGCCTGGTCCTCATCTGATTTAATTCTCCTCATTAACTTCACATCATCTGCAAACAGGGACACTTCTGAGTCTAACCCTTCCATCATGTTGTTCACATATACCAAAAATAGCACTGGTCCTAGGACCGACCCCTGTGGGACCCCGCTCGTCACAGGTGCCCACTGTGATACATCATTACGTACCATGACTCGTTGTTGCCTCCCTGTCAGGTATTCTCTGATCCATTGCAGTGCCCTTCCTGTTATATGCGCCTGATGCTCTAGCTTCTGCACTAATCTCTTGTGAGGAACTGTGTCAAAGGCCTTCTTGCAGTCCAAGAAGATGCAATCAACCCACCCCTCTCTCTCGTGTCTTACTTCTGTTATTTTATCATAGAACTCCAGAAGGTTTGCGACGCAGGATTTGCCTTCCATGAATCCGTGCTGGTTGGCATTTATACTCTTGTTCCGTTCCAGGTGCTCCACCACTCTCCTCCTGATAATCTTCTCCATAACTTTGCATACTATACACGTCAATGACACAGGTCTATAGTTTAGTGCCTCTTTTCTGTCTCCTTTTATAAAAATGGGAACTACATTTGCCGTCTTCCATACCTCAGGTAGTTGCCCAGTTTCCAGGGCGTGTTGAAGATTATGGTAAGTGGCATGCACAACATATCTGCTCCCTCTCTAAGGGCCCACGGGGAGATGTTGTCCGGTCCCATTGCCTTTGAGGTATCGATGTCCCTTAGCAGTTTCTTCACCTCCTCCTCATCTGTGTGTATGTCGTCCAACACTTGTTGGTGTATTCCTTGCTGGTGTCCCCATCTGGTCTGTCCCCCCAGAGTCCTTCCTGTCTCTACTGTAAATACTTCCTTAAATCTCGTGTTGAGCTCCTCACATACCTCTTGATCGTTTCTTGTGAGTTCTCCACCTTCTTTCCTCAGCCTTATCACCTGGTCCTTGACTGTTGTCTTCCTCCTAATGTGGCTATACAGCAGTTTCGGGTCAGATTTGACTTTCGATGCTATGTCGTTTTCATAATGTCGCTGGGCCTCCCTCCTTATCTGTGCATACTCGTTTCTGGCTCTTCTACTAATCTCCTTGTTTTCCTGGGTCCTATGCCTCCTGTACCTTTTCCATTCTCTGTTGCACTTAGTTTTTGCCTCCCTACACCTTCAGGTAAACCAAGGACTCGTTTTGGTCTTCCTATTATTTCTGTTTCCCTTGGGAACAAACCTTTCCTCTGCCTCCTTGCACTTTGTTGCCACATATTCCATCATCTTGTTTACTGATTTTCCTACCATTTCTCTGTCCCACTGAACCTCCTGTGTACACTCGCATACTTAATTGTACTCGCCTAATTGTGGTTGCTGGAGTCGAGGCACAGCACCTGGCCCCGCCTCTTCGCTGGTCGCTACTAGGTGTCACTTCCTGCTCCTTGAGCTTTATCATACCTCTTCTTAAAGCTATGTATGGATCCTGCCTCTACTACATCACTTCTTCACTGTTAGTTGTGTGTGGGTGAGAGAGACTAGTATGCTTGCTGGTTTCATCTCAGATGTTCAACAGTCTGCCTCTTAAGTGTGGGACAGTTAACACCACAAGATTTATTAAGAGCAAATATTGTGTTCTCAAGCCTAAGCTAACAAGATTTGGGCAGTTTGTATTTTTTTATGATTTCAACTTGAAATTTATACATTAGCTCTTCAGTTACAAGTCTTTACATTAAAACATTTAGTCATGTGTTCTAATAAATATAAATTTAAATTTGAAATAATTTATTAGACTTAAATTCTTTTATGAATTTACATAAACTCATGGCAGCATCTCTTGCAGCAAGAACTGTGAGGAAGCTGAGGCCTTGTAAGTGATCATACAGTATTCATTCTTCCCCATCCCTCTTAACTGTATTTTGATCAAGTCTTCAAACCGTAAGTTAATCCATTACCCTTTTGTTTTTGTACATTATATATTTTACCACATTGTGGTTGGTCCTTCGAACAAGCCCAAGCTCGCTGAAGGTCCTGGATCAAACAAGAACCCCCACTTGGAGAATGCTCCCTGTGAGAGAACTGGAGAGCTGTAGAAAGTTGATAAAGCCATATCTGAAGTTCCCTTCAAGAATTTATTACCTCATGGAATCCCATGTGGAAGTATAGCCAAGTTCACATGAGCTGGTCAACCTTGGTTCAGAATCCAAGGTGGTAAATGATGGTATCAAAATGTGAGCTATATAAATCATCACATATTGGGACTTTAGTACTGGATCAAACAGCTTTTAGGAATCTCTAAATTCCTCACAAGTGAAGAAAGTTTCCATATGTTGGTCCATGTTGAACTAGATACCATCTCAAGGACTCACTGTGGGTAAAAATTCATTGATTATTTAATTATTAGACTTGATCATGATAATTTAACAAGTAAAATCATCCCCAAGTACATGTAATGATTAGTAAATTTCATTCTTAAAATTTGAGATTTGCTAAAGTCTTGTCTACCTTTTAACATCCCCTAGAAGACTCCGAATCCCCTCAGACTCCTTACTGAAAATAAGTCATACCTAAGAAACTGGACAGCCTAGTTGAATTGATTCACCTAGATTGATTTGTAATAACTAATGACAGAATAGCTGAATTAAGCTAACTATAATTCAGTCAAGTGAAAGTAGAGCAAGATTTGAGATATGCTCAGCCTATCCTAACACTACTATATAATAATTATGATAATGAGAGTAAACCAACCTAACCTGGCCATCCTAAGTAAATGAAGTCTAGGAATGATTATATATGCATGACACTTGGTATAAAATCAGTGTTTATTGGATGCCTACAGTAATAATTTATAATGACGAGCATGTATATTAATCCACTAACACACATATACAGAAGTACTTGTAAGCTTATTTATTGGAACACAGGAGTCCTCTAATTATTCTGATAATCAACTTTTCGCTTTGCTACAAAACTGATAATTATATAGTCATTTAGTTGAACCGAATTCTGGTGCCCTTTTTTAAAAAGTGACAGCTTACCTGTGGTGCTAGCACCAACAAGGTGGTTGATCAGGCCATCCAGCAGGAGGCCTGGTCTGGTACTGGGCCACATGGTAGGTAAATCCTCCAGTATAGTGCATTAATTAAGCTTCAACTGTATAATTAACTTGAAGACATCTTTTACTTTCAATAAACACCAAGGAACTGCAGCCTCAGTAATTCATCTTTACTGATGCACTATATAAATGACACCTTCCTCTAAGTGGTTTTGGCTTGTGTTTAATTCCCTTTCACTGGCATGACCCCAAAAAAATATTTGTGTGTGCATGTACGTGTGTTTGCATGCATGTACTTGCCTATTGGTAGTTGCAGGAGGTCGGTTCGCACCACCTTTACCCACCTCTTCTCTGGTCACTACTAGGTTCACACATTCCCTTCTCCATGAGCTTTATTGTATCTGTACTTTAAGCTTTGTATGGATCCTACTTCAGCTACATCGCTCTCCAGATTGTTCCACTTCCTGACAACTCTGTGGCTGAAGAAATACTTCCTAACATCCTTGTGACTCATCTGCATTTTCAACTTTCATTTGTGACCCCTTGTTGCTGTGTCCTATCTCCGAAACGTTCTGTCCCTATCCGCTTTGTCAATTCCTCAGTATTTTATATGTTCTCCAGTGTTGTCAGGTTGATTTCCCTTAACCTCTTCTAGTAGGACATACCCCATATCTCCAGAACTAGTCTTGTTGCAAACCTTTGTACTTTTTCTAATTTTGACGTGCTTGATCAGGTGTGGGTTCCATACTGGTGCTGCATACTCCAGTATGGGACTGATGTACACAGTGTACAGAATCTTGAACAATTCCCTACTCAGGTGATGAAATGCTGTTCTAAGGTTTGCCAGGAACCCATATGCTGCAGCAGTTTATGGTTGATGTACACTTCAGGAGATGTGCTTGGTATTATACATACTCGCCCCAAGATCCTTTTCCCTGAGTGAGGTTTGTAGTCTTTGACTCCCTAGCCTGTACTCTACAGTCTTCTTAGACCTTCCCCAGTCTTCATGACTTTGCACTTGATGGGATTAAGCTCCATGAGCCAGTTGTCAGACCAGGCTTGCACTGTGTCCAGATCCCTTTGTAACCCTTTCTGATCTTCATCCATTTGAATTCTCCATATTAGGTTCATATTGTCTGCAGACAGGGATGCCTCTGAATCTACCCCTTCTGTCATGTCATTCACATATACCAGAAACAGCACCAGCCCCTAGGACTGACCCTTGTCGAACACCACTTGTCACAGGTGCCCACTCTGACACCTTGTCACGTACCATCACTCTGTTTCCTTCCTGTCAGGTATTCTCTGATGCATTGCAGTGCCTTTCCTGTTATTCCTGCCTGCTCGTCTAGCTCTTGCATTAATCTCTAGTATGGGACTGTTGAAATCCTATGTCAAGTCCAAGAAAATGCAGCCCCCCACCCACCCATCTTCCTTCTGTCACCTTGTCGTAAAACTCACAAGGCATGTGCGTGCATGCGTACTCTAAACAAAACAAAGCTGAAGGGAATAGGAGACCTTTAGTTGGGAGAAATAAATGGGATTAAGCAACGTGTATCTGAGAGAGTAAGAGCTTAGGAAGGAGTAGCAATAATGTTGAAGGATCAGTTATGACAAGAAAAGAGGGAATATAAATGTATAAAGTCAAGGATTATGTAAATTAAAATAAGGGTTGGATGTGAAAAGTGGGTTTTGCTGCAGTTTTTGCACCTGAAGAGAGGGTATTGCAAGAAACCCAAAATATTTCTATCCCTATGCAAAATCCAAGCTAAGAACTACCTATAGAATTGGACCACTACTGAGAGGAGATTTGTATACTGATGATGAACAGGAAATGAGTGAAAGCCTAAAAGAACAGTATGAGTCACTGTTCAGCAACCCACTACACAACAGCAAGGTAGAAAATGCAGAAATGTTTTTCTCTCCAGAAGAAGGCATTGCAGACCAACGAACTGACATTAGTACAAATCCCTTAGTTTTCCAAAAAGAAATGGAAAACATGCCCACTCATTCAGCACCTGGACCAGATTCATGGAATGCTCTATTTATAAAAAAGTGCAAAGTACCACTAGCACGAGCCCTCAGTATTATTTGGAGAAAGAGCTTAGATCTAGGTGAAATACCAGAGGCCTTAAAGAGTGCAGACATAGCTCCTTTGCATAAGGGAGGTAGTAGAGCATTAGCTAAAAATTACAAAACAGTAGCGCTAACTTCTCACATCATAAAAATCTTCGAAAGAGTGACGGGATGGCAGATTACAAATTTCATGGACCAGCATAACCCGAACCAGCATGGTTCTTAGAGCAGGACGATCATGCTTGTCACAGCTGCTGAACCATTATGACAAAATTACGGAGGAGTTGGAAGACAACCAAAACGCAGATATGATTTACACAGATTTTGCAAAGGCATTTGACTGATGCGATCATGGAGTGATAGCGCACAAAATGAAAGCCATGGGCATTACGGGGAAGGTAAGCAGATGGATTTTCAGGCTCCTAACACAGAGCACAAAAAGTAGTAGTGAACAGGGCAAGATCCAGCATCAGCGAGGTCAAAAGCTCAGTGCCCCAAGGCACTGTACTGGCACCTTTGCTGTTTCTCATCTTCATAGCAGACAGACAAAAGCACCCGGCACACCTGTATCATCATTTGCAGATGACACTAAAATAAGCATGAAAGTCACTATGGTAAGGGACACTGATGTACGGGAAGACATAAACAGGGTTTTCCAATGGGCATTGGAGAACATGATATTCAATGGTGATAAGTTCCAGCTGCTTAGGTATGGAAAGAATGAACTCAAAAGGAACACTATATACAAAACTCAAGAGGGTCACCAAATAGAACGTAAGGAACACGTAAAAGACCTGGGAATAATTATGTCAGCGGACCTTTCTTTTAAAGGCCATAACAAGAGAAAGATCATGATAGCCAGAAAGGTGATGGGATGGGCATTGAGAATTTTCAAAACAAGGGAAATAATGCTGATGGTGCCACTTCAAATTGCTAGTGATCCGTCACTTAGAATATTGCTCAAGCTGATGGCTTCGTTCAGAGCAGGAGAAATATCAGAGCTGGAACAAATACAGAGATCGTTTACAGCTCATGTTGAGCCTGTAAAGCACCTAAACTACTGGGAACGCCTGCGAGTCTTAACCCCTTTGACTGTTTCAGGCCCCTTTCTGAAACTGTCATTCTATGTTGCTCAATTTTTGAAAAAAAAAAAATAAATTTTTTCTTATGAAATGATAGAGAATCTTTTCCCGATGGTAATGACACCAAAAGTTCGAAATTTGGTCGAAAACTCATGGAATTATGCTCCTGCGAAGTTAGCGGTCTCGGCGACATATGCGTATCGTTGATTTCGCCGACTTTGAGCCCTATTTTCAGCCAATTCCATTGTTCCAGTTGACCAAACTCATAGCTATTTCTTTAGAACTCCATTTTATCTATCAGCTGAGTACAAGAAACCTCCCATTTACTAATTTGGACTACCCAATATGGTGGTCAGAAATTGGCAATTTGGCCAATTTCACGCAAACTAAAAAAGATGCCAATTTCAAAATAGGGTCCAGAATAAACAAGGTAGACATTCGTGGCACTAAAATAACATATGCTCTGTTCATTAGTCACATCTCTAGGCCCCTATTATATTATTATTGCTTTCTATTTTGATTTTTTATTCATACAAAAAAAATACAAAATTTACTGTTATGCAGACTACTGCATTATTGTAAAAATGGTATAAATAATATCAGTGCACTAGTGAAAGAATATTAGACTCCCCAGTTGACGTGTATTGGACGTGTGGT